ATATATGTATATATATACACACACACACACTTTGTTTCACTTGGGATCCTGAAGACTGGGAGTTGGTGGAGGTGAGCAAACCTTCAGGCAGTTGAAGTTCATGTGCGATGTCTTCATGATCTGCAGGACACCAGGACTGATGTGTCAGCAGTTTCTGCATCCAGCATCAGAATGTGCACATCCAGAGCTGCACCGTGCACGGAGATGAATTATAAAGAATCGTCACCTTTGTGCCGCAGGCTTCTAAACGTCTGATGTAATCATGAATGTCATTTTCTTGTGACCTTTACAAGAAACGTTTTGTGGGGAAAAAAGATATTTGTGATGTGAGTTATAAATGAATGAAATGATTCTTGTTGTGCTGTTTTATTAAAATAATATGTGTCTTAGTTTTGAGCTCTTTGGTGATATTAGTATCGTTAAGTTTGTAACAATTTACTGTTTCATCTATTGTTCACAGCTCGTCTTCGAGAACAAAGTTTCTGTGATGAATATTCAAATAACATTAAGATGAAAATAATCACAGCAGCAAATATGTGAAAATTTCAGGGTAAACATTAAAATATGAACAAATTAAAGTCTGGTAATAAAGTTAACAGTTAAACTCCTTCAGCTCTTGAAGCATGACATTAAAAGTTGTGTAAATGTGCAGAACTTTATTGAGCAGCTGTGTCCTTAAGGCCTTGTAGCCTGTTGGACAGACTTCAGGTGATCCATCTCCTCCTCCTCTGTAGGTGTAGATGTAGATGACATCTCTCTCCTGGGTTCTTTGTTGGGCTCAAGTTCTTGTTGGACAATTTAATTATCCTGTAATCAGCTCATTAAATAAATAAGCCACACAGGGAAGATCTTTTTCACCCAGGTTTAATATTGCAAGATGGAGCAGCGTACATGCATCAAAACGTTACATGGCGCTGCATCTCCAAGGTCTGCTCATAGAGAAAGAGTGAACAAAAGCTTAAATGCCCGTTATCAGACAGAGGAGAGGTCAAGACGTCTCTGCTTCACAGCTTGAAGTTTACCAGGTGCGCATGCTCCTGCAGGCTCCACTTGGCCAAGACCAAACAACTTGAACGCACACACTTGGTTTATATAATATTTGACATTGGTAAGTGAAAAACATCCATGACCTTTACATCCCCATCAGTTCTACTCTCTGCCTCCACACTAACTGCTCTTATCTGAACCACAGAAGATCAAAGATTATTAAAATTAATTTTATTGTTGTTTTACTAATATTACTATAGAATATATATATATATATATATATATATATATATATATATAT